CTGTCTTGAGGCCTCATTTCCCAGCTTTACACGTTGGCAGGCCAGTGCCTGCTCAGGGAAGTGAGGCCCAGAAAGCAGGAGCCAGGGGCCCGGCACTTGTCAAAACAAGGCCCTAGGTGTGAAGGCCTCACCCCAGCGGGAGGGTATGCAGGGGTCTGAGGCTGGAGAACTCATTATCAGGCAGCTCCCAAATGAAACCTCTGGAGAGGCTGGTGATAAGGAGATCAAAGATGACGGGCAGGCCTGGGGAAGGGGAAAGGGAGGTTGCTGATTGAGGGGGCCCTTCTAGTAACCCCCATCACAACCACAACCATCAGACAAACAGGACTCTGGAGTTGATTTTCCTGAGACTCCAGGAAGAGCAGGAGAGGCAGGAACTCCTGAGAATAACCTCCAGTCTGTCAGCCTGGAGGGCTGAAAAGAGGACTGGTGGCACTGGCTGCAAACTGGAAGGTCTGCGGATCGAGTCTACCAGTGGCTCTGTGGGAGGAAGATGAGGCAGGTTGCTTCTATAAGGATGTGCAGCCTTGGAAGCCCGAGGGGACATTTCTATTCAGTTCTAGAAAGTTGTCATGTAATGAAATGGACCCAAGAGCAATAGGCTGTCTTAAGGTGAAGACCCCAGGATCTTCTGTACCCACCTCTGTCCTCCTGCTGCCCTCTCTTACCCTCTTCATTGTTCTCCACACTTGATCTCTCCATTGTTCTCTCCATATGATCTCTCCATTGTTCTCCACACGTGATCTCTCCATTGTTCTCTCCATATGATCTCTCCATTGTTCTCCACACGTGATTTCTCCATTGTTCTCTACACTTGATCTCTCTCCATTGTTCTCCACACTTGATCTCTCCATTGTTCTCCACACATGATCTCTCTCCAGTGTTCTCCGCATGTGATTTCTCCATTGTTCTCTACACATGATCTCTCCATTTTCTCTAAACTTGATCTCTTCATTGTTCGCCACACATGATCTCTCCATTGTTCTCTCCATACGATCTCTCCATTGTTCTCTACACTTGATCTCTTCATTGTTCTCTACACTTGCCCATGGACTTTCAACAATCACACCAGTGTTGTTCCCATAATGCACCTCTCACAGAGGTCCTATTACAAGTCTCCTGGTGGGTCCTCTGCACCTTAGTTGTTGCTGTTGTGTGCCACTGAGTCAATGAGGACTCATAGTGACCCTATGAACTTAGCTCTGAACCCTGCCCTATCCTGAGCCAATCTCACCATCTCTGACTCACCTGACTTCATTGCTATTGTCACTGTGTCAATTCATCTCGTCCAAGGTCTTCCTCTCCTGCACTGACCTTTCCACGTATGTTGTCCTTTTCTAAGGACTGGTCCCTTCTGGCAACATAAACAAAGTATGTGAATGGAGCCTCGAAATCCTTGCCTCCAAGGATCAACTTGGTTTCACCTTCTCCAGGAAAGACCTGTTTGTTTTCTTGGCATTCCATGGTATGTTCAATACTCTTCTCCAGCACCACAAATCAAAGGCATCAGTTCTTCTATCATCCTTAATCATTGTCCAGCTCTCAGACTGATAGTAAGCAATTGAGAAGACCATGACCTGGATCAGGTGCACCTTAGTCTCTACACTGACATTATTGTTCCTTAGCACTCTGGAGAGATCCCTGACAGCAGCTTTCCCCCAAAGCAAGTCATGTTTTGAGTTCCTGACTACTCATGCCAAGAGTGTTGATTGTGCATCTGGGCAAGATAAAATTGTTCACAGCCTCAACCATTTCTCCATCTATCATGATACTGCCAACTGCCCCGTGGTGAGGATCTTTGTTTTCTTGATGTTGAGATGCAATCCATATTGAAGGTTGCAGTCTCTGACCTTCTATAGCAAATGCTTCAAATCCTCCTCAGTTTCAGCAAGCATGGTTGTGCCATCTACTGGCAATCCTGATGCCACATTGTTCTTCATAAGGTCTAGTCTTTTGAATGATCTATTCCACATACAGATTGAAACAGAATGGAGCATCTTAGTGGTTCAGTCTAAAGTTTAAGGCTCAGTGTGGGATCTTGTTGGAGGTACAGACCCTGACTCCATCACTACCTCCTGGGTGACCCGGGGCAAGATTTTTCTGTTTCTTGGCTTCAGTTTCCACATTTGTAAAATGAACAAAATCACAGTATGTTCAACTATAAACCTCCAAGAGTCACTGTGAAGATTTTATGTAGAAATCCATATTAAGTGTTCAATTAATGTTACTAGGACTCATTTGAGAGGAGCTCAGAGCTTGGGGAGAGCTTAAAGGTGAGGAGTTGTGTTGCCAACCCAAAAGCATGTGGTTTGAATCCACCAGCTGCTCTGCGGGGGGGGACGGGGAAGATGGGCAATCTTCTCCCATGTGACTTCTTGTCAAACTTCATAGAGTTTCCAGAGGCATGTTGTTTAGGAAGTGGATGCTTCCAAACCCATGTAATTTACTGCCTCTGAAAAGCCACTAGAGGATTAGCTATGGGTCAGTTCTGACTTGCTGGTACACAACAACAACACTATCTTCTTGCCCGCTAGTGAAACTTTCTCTCACATACTTTGGGCAAATTATCAGGTGGGGCCAGCCCTTGCAGAAAACCATTATGCTGGCAAAAGTAGTATGGATTAGTGAAAGAGAGGAAGACCCTCGAGGAGATGGATGAACACCGTGACTGTCCCAATGTACCTGAGTAGATCAGAAACTGTGAGGATAGTGCAGGAGAGGGCGAGGTTCAGATCTGCAGTTCATTGGGTTGCTGAGTCTACTGGACAGCACCTAACAACAATATTAGGTCTCAAAGGAATCTTAGTAGTGTGGCTTTTAACATGTCAGGCTGTTAAACTAAATGCTGTTGGTTTGAATCCACTATCTGCTCCATGGAAGAAGGATGTGCAGTCTCCTTTTTAATGGTTTACAACTTTAGAAACCCAATCATGGGGTTCCTGTGAGCTGGAATCAACTCAACGGCAGATTTTGGTTGGGGTGTTGGGCTTCCGGTCTGAGAATCCTTATTGATTAGGCCCTGTGTTTTCAGAGCAAGCAGTTTGTTTCTTACACATATGGTCTATTTTCCAGATAGGTATAGTTATTTCGTACTTAATAAAAACTAATTTCAACACACCACCACCAACAAAATCACACTGGTTTCTCCTGGTGTAGAGAACTGAAAACTACAAACAGTAAACTGATTTTAGGTACCTGCTGTACTTTTTTTTTTTTTTTTACTTTTAAACAGTGTTGTATGCACTGTATTTTAAAAGTACAACTGCAAAATGGTCATTGACTGCCTAGGAAGTTTTCATCATTCTGAATCCTCTCAATTATTACAAAGTAAACCTCAAGATATTGTGGGAATTGGGGAGTTGATGTTTTTGTTTTGTTTTGTTTTAAATTCAGAAGGTTGACAGTCACTGGACTGCAGGATGTCCTGTCTTGAGATTCCACCGTTCCTTCCTCCTCAAGCAAAATATACTCTCTCGCTTTTTTTTTTCTCTTGGGATTGTCAAGATTAAAGAGGCCCAGTCATCTGAGTTTTCAGCTTAGTTCTGGGGTTCTTGGAAGACATCAAACTGCTGTGGTGTAGAAGAAGTTTATCCTTTCCCTGAGGTCACAAGGATTGTTGTTGTGTACCATAGAGTCAGAACAGACCCATATCTGACCCTCTGGCAGGTTTTCAGAGGCAATGGGAGGAGACTGCCAGCCTTCCATCTGGTGGACTTGAACTGCACAATGTCTGTAGAAGGTAAAGGAAATGAGATAGGTCTAGGAGTAGTGGTGGATAGAGACGCCCAGGGAAAAAGTACCAGGCCCCTGGGCTTTTATTGTTACCAACCAGATACTTCATCAGTCTCATGGGGCAGATGCAAATATCAGACCTCTGGCAGAAGACACTCTAGATATTTCTCCTCTTAAAGAAAATATAGACACAACTTGACCCCAACCACCAGGCATTTATTTTACAATCTAGCAGGTCAGTAGATACTCATGCTTGAAGCAGCTACTGTGACAAAGGTGCAAACTCAAAACTCCTAACAGATAAGGCAGACAATGACTTTACACAATTATCATGTCTGTGTATGTTCTTTTTCAATATATATACCTCAGTTCTTTTATTACTTTTCTGGTTAGAACTTCCAGTTTGAACAGGCGAGGTGAATGCATACATCCTTGCCTTGAAGACTTTCACCAGGAAGTATGATCCTGTCAAGTTGAGGATACTCCCCTTTATTGCTGGATACTTAAAACTGTTTAACCAGAAGGGGTGCTACAAATGTTTTTTACAGCATCATTTCCACTCTGCCTCACATGGCAGTTATGACAGGTCCTAGCAGACTAAAGGAGGCTTGGAGAGAAGGCTTTCGCTTTGTCAGGTGGTCCGGTAAAATGACTGCCTGTTGGATTTGCCAGGGTCAGTTTCTTCACCCGCCTCCTTCCTACGTTGCACCCCGCACCTATCCATCCACTCAAATTCCCAGGGACAGTCCTGTCTGTGACCAGCCGCATCAGAGAAGGGCTCATGACAGTTCCCATCCATTCCCACCAGCGGGGAAGGCGCCCCCTTTCGGCATTCAGGCTGCAATATACTCTGAAGCTCCCATTATACAAATTGGAAAGGAAATTTAAGGATTTGCATGAGGTCCCCAACAGGTGAAGGCGGCCCCCAAAACAACTTCCCTTTCAGTTCTCCAAGCCCGCTTCCTTTCAACCTGCTGAGCTGGCCCAACACCTTGGGTACCGCCAGCCACTGGACACAGGGAGGAGGCCCCAGGGCCTGGGTTGGGAGCCCAAGTGAGCGCCCAGGTGGCGCGAACCAGACACAGCCAAGGGGCCAGGGCGGCACCTCCACTCCTCTCCCCTCCCCTCCTGCAAAGAGTCAGGCCCCACCCCCTGCAGACCCTGACTCCGCTTTGATGTGCTGATGTGGCCTGGAAGGGGCCACTTCACACCTCTGGCTCAGGATAAAGCGGTCGTGGTGGCCCGCCCCGAAACGCGCCACCACGGCCATGGCCCAGCCACTCTGCCCGCCACCCTCCGAGTCCTGGATGCTCTCCGCCGGCTGGGGCCCAACTCTGCCGCCGCCGCGGGCTTCCGACACGGACTACGGCTGCTCCCCCGCCTCATCCCTCGACTCCTGGAGCAGCGCCCCAGCCAGCAGCCCTCTGCCCAGTCCCGCGCAGCCCTGCGTGCGCCCGGCTCCCCGCGCCCCGACAGCGACAGCAGGCAGACGCGGTGCCCGCTGCAGCCGCCTGGGCACCGGGCAGCGGCAGAGCGCCAGCGAGCGCGAGAAGCTGCGCATGCGCACGCTCGCCCGCGCCCTGAACGAGCTTCGCCGCTTTCTGCCGCCGTCGGTGGCGCCGGCCGGTCAGAGCCTGACTAAGATCGAGACGCTGCGCCTGGCCATCCGCTACATCAGCCACTTGTCCGCCCTGCTGGGCCTCAACGAAGACAACCTGCAGCGCCGGCGCCGGCGGCTTAGCGACGCGGCGACCCCTCGGGGCTGCCCGCTCTGCCCCGACGGCAGCCCCGCTCAGGCGCAGACGCACGCTCAGTGCCTGGGCTCGCCTGCCGGCCCCGCGGTTCCCTGGGGTCCCCCGCCTGCCAGTACCCGATCCTTGGCGGCGCCGGAGCCACACGACCCTCCAGTGCTCTATGCTGAGACTGCGCACCACGAAGGACCATCAGTGGGGCCCAGCCCCTTATCTCCGGTCAGTACCTCCTCCCCTACGCGAAACTCCCTCCTGGCGCTGCCGGTGCCAGGTTCACATCCTGATGGGAACGGTCACCAGCTGCACCCACATCCCCAGTTTCCTGGCTTGCTCTCTCTTCGGGGTGCCCTAAGGGTAAGAGGAGGTAGAGGCTGCCCAGGCCTGCCCCTTGTGAAAGGTCCCCGGGACATATGAACATCCTGCTACCTGGTACACTGCTTAACAGCCGCGCGGTTCCTTCCCCTCAACAGATTTTTCCTGGCGATGTGCTGGCTCTACTGGAGACTTGGGTGCCCTTGTCTCCCCTGGAATGGCCTCCCGCCTGAGGACCCGGAGTGGCAAAGAACAACTGGATCCCAATCTCTGAGCATTGACGCCCCTTTTTGGACTCAACATTTGAAGAAACCTACCTTCAGTCTCCCTTTCCTGAAGAGGGCAGCAGCGATATTGGCATGGACATTCCTGGAGCCAAGGCCTGTCCCCACCAGGACAGCCTCACCCAAGAAGGACGCATCCGGTACATGCCTTAAGGCAGGCAGAAGGCCTTGCATGATGTATATTTATTTATTTGTGAATAAATGGGTTTTACTGTGACATTTTGCAATTCCTTTTCACACATTAACAGAGTTTCTCCTTTCCCCTAAAGAGAACATAAGAGTTGGGAGGGCTTCTTGCTCAGACCCCCTTCTTCCAGCCCTGGCTCAGCAGCTCCTAGTCCAGATGTCTGCATGGAAGGGTTTGTTGTTGTTGTTGTTGTGTGCCAGAGTCGGAACCCACCTAGAGCTGACCCTCCAGCAGGTTTTCAGAGGTAGTTAATTGGAGGGGTTTCAGAGGCAGTTAATCGCATGGGAGGAGATTGTCTCTTCTCCACCTGGTGGATTCGAACCTTGTGCCTTTGTGTTGGCAGCAAAATTCCTTACCACAAAGCCACCAGAGCTCCCTTTGTGGAAGGTGTAGGGGCCTCATATGAGAAAGTGGCAGCAACTAGAGTATATCTGTGCATCTTTGAACTTCGTGAGGAGATCAATAAAACCAAAATATCTTTCCAGTAGAGTCTCTGGATAGTGCAAAACTTTAATGGACTCTTACTAATTGAGAGGTTAGATGTGTGGATTGAGCCAGGGCACCTCCCTCGAAAGGGAAGCATCTTGGAAGAAAGGCCCAATGACCTGCTTCAGCATTAAAACTCTATGGGCAAAACAACTATGAGATATCATTTTACCCCAGTAAGAATAGCAAAATTCAACAGAACAGCAGACAACAAATGTTGGCGAGGTCGTAGAGAAACTGGAACCTTTATTGTTGGCGGGAGTGTAAAATGGTGTAACCACTACGGAAGGTCGTATGGCACGTTCTCAAAAAGTTGCAAATAGAAATGCCATTTGACCCAGCAATTCCACTACTTGGAATATACCCTAAAGAAACCAGAACTACCACCCAAGCAGATACAGTCACACCCATGTTTATTGCTGCTTTGTTCACAATAGCAGAGAGCTGGAAACAACCCAAGTGCCCTTCAACAAATTATAGAGAAGCTATGGTATATTCACACAATGGAATATTATGCTGCATTGAAAAACAAGGAACTCAAGCAATATTACTCAAAATGGGTGACTCTTGAGGACATTATGCTGAGTGAAATATCTCAGTCACAAAAGGACAAATACTGCATAGTGCCACTGTTGTAAAACGGGACTAACATTGGGGTTGGTGAGAACCTAAGAAAAGGGGAGACAAATAATGTATACTGCATTGAAACAGATGAGGAAGAGAACTGTTTAAAAGAAATATAGGGTTAGGTATTATTTTCATGACAAGATTACAGGAAAAGAAATGCATGGTAAAATGGACTGTGGACTTTGGGGGGATTGTATAACAATGAAAGAATTTTTTTTCCAAAGAGAAAAATGAACTGGGAGGAGGGATGGGTAGGGATGAAAATGTGCAACAGTGAATGAATGGGGAAAATTAAATGGAAAGAATATGCTGTAAAAATATATATGTTGCATTAAAATTATTAATAAAAAATTAATACATTAAAAAAACCCTCTATGGGCACAGTTCCACTTTTGACAAGGAAGGGTCACCATGAGCCAAGTACTTCCTGTGCATCAGGCACTTTACACATACCCAATCATTTCACAAAAGAATAAACATCAGTGCTTAAATCCAGCATGGTACCTGAGCCTGAGCTCCGAGACCTGGTAGGATTTTCCCACTCTTTATTCATCCCTGGTGGCACAGTGGTTAAGCAATTGGTGGCTAACCGAAAAGTTGATGATTCAAACCCACCTGCATGGAGAAAGATGTGACAGTCTGTTTTTGTAAAGATTACAGCCTTGGTGACTCTGTGGTGGAGGGGAGGTAGTTCTACTACAGGATGCATTCAGTGTGTTAACGGGCCCCAGCTCCATCTGTCATTGTGACCTGAGTCCTCTTCTTTGCACGGGCACATCCTGGTCCAGACCCTGGGATTTCCCCATCTCCCTCTTGGGTTTCCCTCTCATGTTGCTTATCCCCCTCAAACCTCAAGTCCACTGGGGTCAAGTCCATTCTGACTCATATCAACTTGCCATTGTATTGCCACCTTTCTTTCTGTCTCATAGTGTCTGATGGCTCCCAGTCGTTCACTTTGGGGTTAGTAACCCAACATGGTGCTTAGGGACATAAAATAACATCATGGGCCAGCTCTGAGTTCATGTAACTGCTGCCTCTTTGTGGCCCAGCAGGGGTGGAATGAGGAGCCCAGCAGAGCTTAATGTCTTGCCTGGGTCAAACTATATCCAGATCTATACAGGGGGCCTGCAAGCAGGCAAAGCTGCCTGCCACCTTCCTGTCTGCATTGGTTGGATTGTGATCAAGAACGCACTGTATGGGGAGAGGGAGACCTCAGACCCAAAAAGTCTGGCCTCAGCCAAGGGGTCTGGTCAAGTTTAGTGTTGGGAGGAAGCACCGCCTCTGGATTTTCAGTTCTTTCCTCTCTTTCAAGTTTCTTTGCAATACAAGCTTTATAAGGGTTTTGGTTTGTTTTACATAAGCGCCATCATTGAGATCTAATATGTCATAAAATGCACCATTTCAATGTGTACGGCTCTAATTTTTTGGTGTATTTACAAGACTATGCAACCATCTCTACTATTAATTTTGGAATATTTTCATCACACTTTCAGAAGAAGCCCTGTGCTTATTTGCAATCATTTGCCATTCTCCCTTTTCCCTAGTTCTTGGCAACTGAATTCTATTTTCTGTCTCTTGAGATTTACCTGTTCTGCACATTTTGTATAAACAGATCAGGCAATCCGTGTCTTCTGTGATCAAGTCTTTCACTCAGCATGATGCTTTCAGGGCCCATTGCATTGCAGTTACTTCAAGTTGTCAGCATTTTATTCCTTTTTACTGTCTAATAGCATTCTGTTGTATAGATTTACCACATTCTGTTTATCCATTCATCCTTTACCATTGTTAGTTTTTTTCTGTTGTTAAAATTTGCAAAATAAACTTGACATCTTAATTGTTTTTAGTGTGCAATTCATTTACCTCAGACATACTAGAGATCATGGAAATTAATTGGACCAGGCAATGTTTCCTTATACATAAGGTTGCCCCTTGTCATTGTGAACTATCGAGTTGGAACTCACTGATAGAGGCAATAAATCTTGTGGGAGTAGATTTCCCATCCTTCTCCCACGGACGGAACAGCTGGTGGATCTGAACTGCAGACCTTTAGGACTGCAGCACAGCTTCTTGCCAAGGGGCTACCAGAGCTCCCTTAAGGTTGCCCCTTAGCTAGCAGCAACTTGTCAACAACAGCAATTATGTTCATTGTGTCACGCAACCTTCATCATTATCTGCTTCCAAAATGTTACAGCTCTCATCATCTTAAACACAAGGTCTGCAGCACAAATCCATTTTTAAGCCACTTCACAAATGTTCCCAATGCTGGTGCCCAGGCCAGGAAAGTGCAGCAATACAGAGTTGGGTGGAGACCACCTCTCTGGAATTTGGGGTGCCCTCCAGCTAGCATTTGGTTGCAGAGCAGAGCTCCTCCAGGAAAGCAGGACCTCACACCTTTTCTGACTGTCTCCCTTCCCCCACCACCACCCTATCTCACTCTCTCTCCCAGGACCCTAACTAGCTAGAGCAGGAAGTCTGCCCTGGTGCCTATCTAGCTTAGAAGATCTATTTGCATGGCAAAGGCCTTGAGTTTTAGGATGGGGAATTAAAGTTATTAGCAAGTCTTTTCACAGATAAGTGGAGCTCACTGGCCAGCCCCCTTCCCTGCAGAGGGCCTTGGCTCCGCTCCCAGGCCGGGAGCAGCCCACTGTTTATTAGCACTTGGGTGTGAATTTTCATTAACACACCCCTGCTAATAGCAGCCGCGACAAGGGCTGCAGATCCTGCGTCCCTACCCCTTCCTGAGCCAGTCCTATCTCACTCAGGCTAGAAACTGAGTGCCAGGCACCAGGGAGTTTTCTTCTTTCATTTACCAGGCAACCTAAGAGGGAATCACAGGGCCATTTTAAGGGTGGAAACGTTAAGTAAGGAATAAGTTGCAATAATCACGTGTTCATAAAGATGTTAAGAGGCCACGTGGAATACAAACCAGCTCTGACTGCAGCTCAGCTACACACCTCTGTTACAGCTGAACGCTGTCAAGAACAGAGGGTCCCAGCTGGTGCCCTCCTCCACCTGGTGTCTCAATAGGTCTGGAGGGGTCTGGGCTTCTCTGCTGGAAGGTGGGAGTGACAGTGATGACATCAAGGAAGCCCCCATTTCTGCCAACAGTCTACTGTTTCCCAGTGTGGTCTGACAGAATTCTTCCTGTTGTTGTTGTTGTGTACCGTTGAGTCTGAACTGACCCAAAGCTCACCCTGTAGTGAATTTTCAGAGGCAGTTAATTCTGCAGGAGGAGATTGCTCATCTTTCTCCCGTGAAGCAGCTGGTGGATTCAAACCGTGCGCTTTTGGGTTGACAGGGCAAGTCCTTACCACTAAGCCGCCTGAGCTCGCTGCCCAGAATTCTAGTGGAGGCAAAATAAGCATCCAGAGCGGCAGCTGTGTGCCAGGCTCTGTCTGTCCTCAGGGATCAACGTTCACTGTCTAATTTAGAGTCATTTTCACTTCAGAGCCACTGGCATAATAAATTGCTAGGTTTGCATGTAATATCTATCTTCATTTTAATTTAAAAATCTGAGCAGAAGTTGACAAGTCACATTGCCATTTCATTCCATTATTTGAACACATTTTTATTCTACATATCTATGTTTGATATAATTAATGAAGACCAGTATCTGATAACTCCTTAGGGAGCTCTGGTGGCATAGTCC